CAACATTCTCCCAAATGCAAATAATTTGAAATAGCACTAGTTCCAGCTGTACAAAGCTTGGATGAAGTAATCAACAATATAGATTCTCTGTGTGTTTTGTCCATCGGATAACACTTCTCGATCCGTCGGCTAGCGCCAATTACAATTCGAAAAATTGAGACCTAGAATGCTACTTGCTATACTAGAGTACCTAAGAATATTGCTTTTAGTCTTACCACGCCCAGCATGCATTTGTTCTCTTTCCAGGCCCCACAGCATCCAAAGAAGGCAACGAATGTGATAATGGCACCAACAGCGATCAGAAGTCGAGAGCCTGTGGCGAAGTTGACGGAGGACAACGTCACGTACGGACCAAGCRTCAGCTCAGCATAGATGCCGAATCCGAGCAATGCAATGCCCAAGATCTGAAATAAATACAGTCAACTTTCTCGTAAGCGACCACGTCGGGATCAGGAAAAAGTGGTCGTTTACAAGAGATGGTCGTTTACAAGAGAGGTTTTTTTTACAGAGTTTATGGGAAACAATTATAACGCGAAATTTAAAAGGTGGTCGTTTAAAGGAGATGGTCGCTTACGAGAGTGGTCGTTCAAAGAGAGTCAGCTGTAAGTCCACTTGATTATCACATACTGATGGACAATACTGAACGTAGTCTCGGCAAAACGTTCAGTTCCGTACCTCGCTATTACGGACTCTCGCTATTACGGCCACCAAATTACGGCCCGGGGTGTCCGTAATAGTGAGAGTTGACTGTAATAGCAAGATCTGTCTACCCGGAAACGTATAGCCTTTTCTATGGTGTAAGAGGTATTTATRTCTACGGGCCCGGGTAGGTTACTCGTATACGTGCACAAATAGAGCGTTGATCTTTAAAAAGGTATCTATTATAGAGTGGTTTTTATTAGCCCGTGAAACACACGTTAGCGTATTTATCGCTATTAAACTTTGACTCTTTTGTTTTTTATTGTCTCTACGCGACTATTACGATCTATTACACTGTAATTATTACACCTTGTTTCACGGCTTTATGAAAACCACTCTAGGTGWGAACAATGTATTTTTTAACTACTGTTAAAACAATCACTGACAGCAGTAGTTGATCTAACAGAACAATATACCATATCAAATTTAAAATTCTTTTTGGCTGTATTTTTCATATTTACAAGTAGTTTGGCAAATCAACCATGAATAATTTTAACAAAATTGTTTGGTAAAACAACCATGAGTTCATATGGTTGATTTACCAGACTACCTGTAAATCACTTGTACCATCAATTGATAGAAAYGCGTGTGCATATTACGTATAGTGACTTATAAAACTCATTAATATTCATAAGGCAAAACACAATAGAAATCATAGCCCATGAAGAGAGTTGTATATTACATACAGATTTCTTGKTCATTTGCATAAACKTTTACTCTGATTTTCTCAGTCAGWTTGAATTTTTTTTCAAAAGTTTCTTTAAAACCTGAGCTAATTTACCTTAACGTTTCATAAGTAATATACAATATTCGCGTGCGATCTGTATGAGGTTTAAAACAGCTCGCTTTCAGAATAAATTTTAAATCAGAATAAGTTTTAAATCCTCATACAGATCGCCCGCTCATATTGTATATATTACTTACAAAGAAAAGAAGATTGAAAAAGAAAACAAGGAATTTGATGCATCTTGTTCCTCCTTCTCCCATTGTACTTGAATCGAAACCTAAAACAGAAAAACGTCATGTTACGTGTCACCTTTTGATTGCTATTATGTACATAAAGAGGGTGCGTGATGTGATTAAGACTAAAACTGTTTTTGAGTAATATGATTTGAGTACTCAACTAGGTACACGGAAGGTTAAACTATCCACCTGTAACAATGAAAGTGCATAATTCTTAAAATCCCTTTCTTCTGAAGCCCGAGTAAACGTTCACTGAGCGTCCAGTTTTTCAATTAGACACTGAACTTTTTAAAGTGCACATGACACTATCAGAAATTCGTCCTCATCCAAAAGAGAAAATGCTGCTAAGTRCATCTGTGAAGAAAAGATTTCGTATTTTCTATAAGTTATGTTCAATAAACCCTTTTAGCGATCTCTTTTACGATGTGTTAGCCTAAAAGCCATGTAATAAATTCTTTTATTCACAACAGCCCGTGCAAATGCAAGACATCTGTGAGTATAGAAGACAATGGAAATAGTTTGAAATCTCACAAGTGGACATTTCTGAATATTTTAGCACACAATTGAGGCTAACACAGCGTAAAARAGAGTCGCGAAACTCAACTATTGAAACTTAGAAAATGCAGATGAAGTGACGTCTGATAAGGAATTATTTAATATACAAAGTCATAAAAGACGACGATAATCTTTTTGTGAAATCGAAAAAAAAAAAAAACATTTTCAGCTCTCAAATATATATAACTATGATTGATGATTTGAGTCTTCGACCAAGAACAACATAACACAAACAACGTAAAAAAGTCTGGACCAATTCCTTACACTTCATTTGCATTTTCAATTTTCCAATGTCTATAACTCAGATAATATACARTTTAAAATCTATTTCCTTTTTCACAGAAGTGCTTGACAGCGTGTTACCTTTCATAAAAGTGATTTTCTAAAAGTTCTTATGTGCACTTTAATAAAAGAATTCTCTTGAAATCTACACAGCCAGGTTTGATAAATGGAAAGCGCAACAAGTTCAATGGATCTGTCCAGCTGAAAGGCACTTGCCATGAATGAGCAAACAATGCGGACTTCAACAACTTGTTGTATGTATGCAATACGACCCCGTGGCATAATATATGGGGGCTTGAACGGGCCATTCACTGATCGATATTTCGTGAGCTCTACATCACAAGAATCAGTGRACTTTCGATACGGTATGGAAATGAGCAAGTTTTTCTCCTTTTTTTTTTCTTTTTCTTTCTATTTGCCTCTATTTCGTTATTTTATTTTATTGAAAAGAAGAACAAAACCATCGTGCTTTGATCAATTTCTTTTTAATTGACGTGTAAATTTTATTTGCCAAAATCGCMKAATATATTTTCTTGMGACAGCTGTCRATAATTTGTAATAAATGCCGTCAGTTTAAATTTATTATTATATTTGGCGATCTACATATTTTTCGCTACACGAAAGCTGTTTGCAGACGAATKTTGGGTATCATAACACCACTTTTAACATTACCATTAAATTTTAATTACTTCAAAAATATGTAGATAAATTATGTGAAAACTGAGGAGTTTGGTCATATTAAGATGGCGGCGTCAGAGTTAATATTCAATAGCATTCATCCATTGTTTACAGTCAAAAACATGAAGCGTGAATAAT